GCCTTAGGTTGCCTACCCCTGCTCTATTGTGTTTCTTTTTAAGTCCAAGGCATATTGAAACAAACCAACTAACAAACACCGCTACTTTTCTCTTTTAGTCAGTGTTGTAGGGTTATCAGCAAAATGGCACCTTGCGCTGTAACTCTAAGGAACAACAACAAAAATTCAGAGGAAAAAATTAAAACTTTGCTCTGTTTTAAAATTCTTTAGAAGAGCCCTAGTGCACTTCCTAATAAAATTATTATTATTATTATTATTATTATTATTGGCTATAAGCAGACCCCCCAAACAATGGAGCAGGTGGTGGTGGTGGACGAGGAGGAGATGACAACTGACAAAACCCAAGAAGTTATAGAATAACTTAGTATAACTTAGAATACGTTCTATAGAAATTTTTCCTAATGTTGAGGTGGAATCTCTTTTCCTCTAGCTTGAATCCATTGCTCCATGTCCTATTCTCTGGAGCAGCAGAAAAGAAGTTTTCTCCCTTCTTAACATGACATCCTTTCAAATATTTAAAGAGGGCTATCATATCTTAACCGTCTCTTCTCCAGGCTAAACATACCCAGGTCCCTAAGTCGTTCCTCATAGGGCTTTATAGTTCCCAGACCTTTCACCATTTTGATCATTCTCCCTGCACATGCTCCAGCTTCTCGACATCCCTCTTGGATTGTGATTCCCGAACTGGACATAGGATTATTCCAGGTGAGGGCCTGACCTTCAAAGTGCCTTGAGATTAATTCCAATTTACGTCAGCCCAGATTTTTTTCCAAGAAGGTTTGTCATAGCCTTCCTCTTAGGCTCATGGAGTGTGACTTTGCCCCAGGTCACCCAATGTCTTTCCATGGGAATCGAACCATGGTTTACAATGATGCTTTAAGCACAAATATTAGTTACATAAATGTTCCTATTCCTCCCCTTCCTCCCCTTTCCTGGATATCTGACATAAAATTTCTCAGTTAAAATTCAACATACGTGATTCCACATATGTGGTTTTTAAATAAAACTCAGCGCTCTTTTCCGTCAGTTATAGATGCTAAGAGATATTTGCAGAGAACCAATTAATGGTTGAAAAAAGCAGAGGAAGACCAAAAGAAAAAATTGGACAGGTTTCGCGTGGCAGATTTTTTAAACAAATTGGAACAGTTGAAAGGGGGAAAAGAGGCTTGTGAATTCTGACTGTTCTTGGAGATACAACAAGAAAAGGAAAATGCTTCTCCAGTCTACCGTGCTGTTTTTGGACTTTTTAAAAGTGATCTGAAAGCAAAAAAAGGAAACACGCTGGAATATATCAAGGATATCTTGTATGCAGAAGATCAGGCAAAAGGATTAACTGTGTAGGAAACTGGTAAAGTACAATATGCAGACAGAGCGAGATGTTTGAAACTCTGCATATACCTTTGCATTTCAAAGCAGTGCAAGTTTATTTATTCATTTATTAACTGTCACTGTTTCCACAAAAGCACCCCAGTCTCAGTCATTGCTGTTTGGTGACAACGCTAACAACTCATGCACATGATACCAAACTGGGCAAGGTACTTAATACGATGGAAGATAGGGACAGACTTCACAAAAACTTTGATAAACTAGAAAATTGGCCTGGAGCTAATAGAATGAAATCCAACAGCGAGGAACTCAAAACTCTACAATTAAGCTACAAAACCCAAATGCACACTTACAGGATGGAGGATACTTGGCTTAGCAGCAACACACATGTAAAGGGAGCCTTTGGATTATGTGCGTCGCAAATTGAGCCCAGCAGTGTGATGCTGCACCTAAGAAGGCAAATACTGTTTTAGCCTGCATGAATAGAAGTATCGTTTCCAAAACAAAAGAAGCAATAGTCCCACTGTATTCTGCACTGGTCAGGCCTCATCTGGAATACTTTGGGTGCCTCGTCCTATGGAGAAGTTGGAGAAGGGCGACCAAGATGACAGGAGGGAGACAACCTATGAGGAAAGGTTGAAGGAGTTGGGCATGTTCAACTTGAAGAGAAGATTGAGGGATGACATGATTGCCCTCTTTAAATACCTCAATGGTTTGAAGTTACAGG